CGCTAAACTAGAATCTGAGATGCAAAAACTAGAAAAGCTTTCGGAGAGGTTATTTTGCCTTTGTGACGTCACAGTAGTCCTGCGGTAACAACGATAATTCATTATGACGAAACAATTGCCCAAATGTGCATGTCATACAAAATCTCCATTTTTATGGGTTTCGAAATTCCTAAAATAAAATCTGAGTTAACAGACAGGTGCGCCGCAGCATTACATAAATACCTATTTTATAAAAAACTCAAAACCGCCAAAAATGACTTACGCAATTAGGTTATTAGCGTGACGATATTTTGCCGTCGTATTGAGTGCATTGTACACTGATTGCATACAATTATTTAGCCCGTTATTAAAATCATTATTTGATTGTTCACATGCGTACTCGATTAGTAATTTTTATCTGTTGTCTGATGTCGTTTTATGTTATCTGTTGGCATCCGCATCACCTATTCAAATTTGCCCGCATAGTAGACTGTTTGTAGGTATCCTTGAACTGTTGTATTCTAATCGTGTTTGCCAGGATTCGAAGACGTTTGCTGAGGGTTTTTGTCCAGTTTGGAGCGGTGCGTTTGAGATGTGTTATAGTTCTCCTTGTTGATGGCAACTATAATTATTATTATTGAGGCACCTTACTTCCCAACCATCCACACCAACAATCAGCTCATATATTCAAGTATTCACATTTACTTCTTAACACAGCACAGCATCAAATTTTACGTGTTACTCCTAGAACAGCGAAACGAAGACACATTGTAAACAAGGTATTCATGCGCCACAACATACATAAAGAAAATAGGGCACGCATGAAAAGTCATTAGAGCATAACAATAATACAATATTATACCTATTGTATGACAATATGTTTCCAATATGTCCCGTCTACAGATTCCTGCGATATAGATTTTTTCGTACCTAGACGCGTTTGAGATATTCCCACAAAGATCATCTGCTATTTCTGCAACTATACGGTCAGAATCCCCCTCAATATCTGGCCCAACAGCCTGTTAACTTAAGATACCATCTTAGAATCGGGCATGCATCCCCATCAAGCATGATATATTTTCAACATGCGATCTTATACGCGGTGTCAAATCGATGTCTGGTAAAGGCGATATTAGAGCTTGTTTCATCTACTACGTAAGTAAATGTCAACAGGTTTCTTAGCACGAAAAGATGATCTCTGTATTTATGTGTGTTTGAGCTCGTTAAGTTGTAATTGTACCAGCTTGTCACAGAGGTACTGGGGATATTGGCCCGTGAGTTGCATTAGCTGTATTAGTTACATATTTGCGACTATCTCGCACATCACCGTTATAGCATGGGGGTATTAGGTTAAATATATTGCCATATTTTATATATGTTAATGTGAGGAGAAAGATTTAGTTAGCTCTTTCTTTGTTATGGCTTAGTAATGCTATAATCTACACCAATAATTTCTTCGAGTATGGAGTAGTAAATGAGTTTGAGTCTGGGGGGTGCTAAAGCAACCCCAGGCGTTGCATTCTCGGTGAACGTCGATACAGATAAAAGCTGAAATACATAGCTATATTCAACAGTCCGAGGGATAAATTGATAGAAAATGTACAATTACGTTTTGGTTCTGGTTCAATTGTGAATTCGTCGTGGGTGGGAGTGGGAGTATGATGTTGATCGATTCATCAGGCCACAATATTTAAAATTCTGAAATTTCACCCAGATTGATAGGAAAAGGCGAGCGATAATTATAATTCACATTATACCAATATTTATATTTGTACCCCCGCACCAATATTTATATTTGTTATTTTTGCATATGAATTTTCTTTCTTATATTTCTTTGATGGGCTGGCTCAGTTAAATAAGCCGTTCTTTTTCTCTATATTGACGTGTTATACTTTTACATGTTCAATTTAATTCTTCATTTGGATTAAAATCTTATTTGTATTTATTTCATAAATGCTGTTTTTGCCCCCTGCGCGGGGGAGGCCAGGGTTACTGGCGAATGTACTATTGTTAAATTAAATAAAAGTAAATAAAAACAAAATGAGATATCGCTATGAAGGTTGTTTTATGTTGATCGGTATTTCATGACGTTTTTATTGACACTATAATTTAATTGTTTTAGATAAAATTTCTTATGTTTAATGATTGAATTATATGAACCGAACCCCCATAAAATGACTACTCCTCAAGTATAAGCACAATGTGTATCCTGGTTCGTTGATACAAAATCATATGTTCCGCAAAACTACAGTAAGTATGGAAGAGACCCATCATTACGTCCTTCAATTCGTTTATGGTAATTTAATTAAACAAACACAATGTGAGAATTTGGGAATCAGAAACCCCCCATGCGGATAGATAAGTTCAGCAAAAGTGAATGTTTGGCGTGGAATCATGTGCAATCGAATAGTTGGGCCATTTTTCTTCAACGAGGCATCAATTACTTCGAATGTTTACCTCAACGTACTGACCGAATATGCGGCACGACAACTGATTGACTTTCAACCAACCATCATATTCCAGCAAGATGGCGCACCATCTTTTTCCGACCGATGGATTGGAAGGGATGGGCCGATTCCATGGCCACCAAGTTCACCGGACATGACTACTCTGGATTTTTTTTTAGGTTTACGTACAATATATTGTGTGTCGAACAAAAGTATGGGACATGACTAGGCTTACCATACGTCCCGCTTTAGGCGGGACAGTCCCGCTTTTCAGCGTTCTGTCCCGCCGTCCCGATAAGTCAGCCAAAAGTCCCGCTTTTCCAGCATAATACACAAACATGTTCTCGTTACTGTTGTTTATGTGTAGCGCAGCGCTAGCCTACCTACTGAAGGTGAATGCGTTCGTTTCCCGCTGATTCCCATTGATGGCAGACGTATCGCATGTAAAACCAATACTAATTCGTCTAAATTCGAATTATTTGTACCGGTATCGTTAACGTCAATTCCTTCCTATTTTTCGAACTGAACGCGATATTTGGAAGAGAATATGCGCATGAAATTTCGATAACAATATGGCCAATAAAGACAGCCGCGACAGCTTTAAATGTAGGAATGTAGGCCTATGTAGTAAAATCGGAAAATGTGAAGTTACAAAATCACAGCTAAGGGGTCGTTGTCTTCCGAGGCGTCCCGATTTGAAGTCACAAAAATATGGTAACCCTAGACATGACTAACCTCAAACAAAGAATATTTGATGCTATTGCAACCATTGATGAGGCTATGCTACAACGAACATGACAGGAAAATGAGTACCGTTTAGATGTGCTTCGTGCAACTAATGGTGCACATATAGAAGCGTATTGAATAGAACAATGGTATTTTTAAGTAAACGTTTAGAAGCGTATTGACTGTGCCAATAAAAACTTTACGAAACACTGATTAACATAGAACAACCATCATTGCGATATCTCATCGTTTCACTTTGTAAGATTTTTTTTCAAATTGCATTCAAATTTTTTTTTTTCAAATTGACTTTATGGACACCCTGGCTGAAATTAGTGTAGAAATACAGCGCCACCGCCGTATGCAGGTAGGTTGAATGGACTGCTGCAATTTATTTTGTGTATGATCCACTTCTGTAGCAATCTGGATATTCAGCCACCGGGAATATATCAATTCTTGGACCTCCTGAAGTATGCGCACCAAGATGGCACGACCTGAACTAAGGTTGTGTACCAGGTTAGGGTTCAGGTTATGCGACATCTTAGTGCGCATACATTACGTACTTAGTACCCAATTCTAATTGTTTGGAATAATTGATCATAACGATATTCATTCGCTGCGATATCGATATTCTTGAATGTAATCAATTAGCGGCGTTGGCCAGGTATAAGACCCCTTGGTGGAGCATGAAATTTTCAAGCAACCTACGGATTTCAGCCAATGACCTAACCCGGATTAGTTTTTGACAAGTAATACAACACGCTCTGCTCGTCTAGATGTGTTCCATCATTCCTTAATGTTGATCAGGTTCGTTCAGTTCTCCTTTGGTCGCTGTTTAATAACGAAATCCTTGCACTGGAACCGCAGGCCCGACCCGACAGGGGCCCGTATGGGTATTAAACCCGACCCGACTCGAGCCCGCCTAATTAACTAGATTTGCAGGCCCGACCCAAGCCGGGTATGGTGAGGTATAGGAAAAATATTTTCGGGTGTCAAAGGTCGGGGGAAGGTCCATTACAGCTTCTTCTCTGTTTCATTCAAATTATTTCTTTTATAACAAGTATTCCTATGTTTAGTATCCACGCATAGTTTAAGTATTTATTTCAAACAAAGTCAGCGATAGAAAAGCCCGACCCGACCCGAACGAGATGATTGACATTTCAGGCCCGACCCGAACGTAATGATTGGCATTTCAGGCCCGACCCGACCCGAACGTAATGATTAATATTTCAGGCTCGACTCGACTCGGGCTTCAGATCTTAGCACTACTTCATGCTGTAATCAGTATCACTGATTATGTCTAGCGACAAATGGACTGCATCCGTCTGCCTGCATTAGTTTCTGGTTGTCACAAGTATTAGATGGTGGTCCGGTAAGATTGGTTAAATTCAGTGACTCAACCTAAATATGTTGCATTTTCTTGTGTTTAGGATAAGATGTGTTTTAGTGTTTTAGCCATAATTTTGGTTATAATAATTAAATGTCACACAACATGACGCTATTTTTCCTAAAAAGTGACGAGACGAGTGTGTCCTTTTTGAAGAAGTTTTCAAATCGCTTGCCAACGCAATCCAGATCGGGAGAAGTTAAATGAAATGCTTGAAGCATGCATTTTCCAACATCAATATATATATCATTCAGGCAGAGCTACAAAACATTTTCTCTCCTTTTAATACTTACTGTTAATACATAACTGCCAAATAGGATAGCATAGCCATATAGTTTACAATAAAGCATCAATTATCTCGTTGTCTGGTTGGTCGCAGGTGTTGACCAAAGGAAAAAAGTGTAGTATACTTTACTATATATACATATACAAATATAAACTGCGGTGTAAATAAAAGTATGTTGTTATGACATCAGAGTTATATTTCGAAATATGATGCGTACGATAAAATAGTAATCTTGTATAATATGTATTTCTTCCTAGAATATAGATATGAAGTCCAGTCCCTTCTGAATTTATTTCATACCGCCTCACCTATGCTCATGAGGCAGTCGCCAGTCACATGATGAGAAGTAGTTATACTTTTCGTCCCATAGAACTTGCGAACAAACAACAAGCTTGTTGGGCAAGACGGACGTTCTAGCAACTAACAACAGTAATGCTGCAATTTGCCACCGAATCTTAAACAAACTTACATCCCATGCAGCCATCTTGAAATACAAAACGTTTACAGGCACCCATGGTAGATGAAATAATGCCATGGTATGGACATAATTATGGCTTTTGGAAGCGCGGGAGAGTAGACTGGTTTTGGTGTTAAGGACTAACTTAAAAAAACGTACTGTATCATTACTTTTATATTTGAATTTCAAGATGTGATAGCAGTTTTTAACTGATCAGAAACGACTGACCATAATAAAACGTCGTGGCGCACTGTCAACGAGTTATCAAGTAAAACGAGTTATCAAACCAGTTATCGGCACAATGAATTTGATGGCAATAATACATGCTGTAACAATTTGAAAACTTAATAACATGCTATTTATATTTGACGACAATTAAAAAATACCTCAACATAATGAGACTTATAGGTTCATTGAAGTAAAGTTAGTGACTATTAGAAGATAACAATATGGATGGCAATCCATTGTACTATTTCTTTTCACGTTGATACTTAATAACTATTTTTTCGTGATAGCTGGTCTTTTTTGCTTCATATGATCCCAGTGTTTTGATACAAACAAATCCTGTGACTTCAGTGTTTTTGATATTAGGTCACCAACAACAATACCAGCCAGTTGACCGACCCCAGCATCTCTTCCAACAGGAACAATCATCATAAATTTACCGGGCTTATAAGGAGTCTTCTTCCAACCTTGGGTTTCGGCAAAAAGATTTTTGACCAGAAGATATCCATGAGCTTCAGCGGTTATCAGCATTTTTTCTTCCTCTATATTCGTAATATCTCCTGCCGCGTAAATATTTTCCATTCCCTCAACTTTGAAAAATTCGTCAACTTTTATTTGGCCTTTGTCACTTATGGCATCCCCTAATGCTTCTTTGAATAAATCTGTTGACAACTTACTTCCATTACATTTGAATACCAGATCCACTTTCATTTCTTTACCGTTTTCCGTTTTGAGAACTTGATCTTTCACACATTTATTAATATGCAAATCATCGAGATTGGATACTCGTTCTTCTAAAATCATTTCGATTCCTTTCCGTTTGATAAGAGCTTGCAGCTTCGACTGTGCACTCGAGTTTAGTCGTTTAGAGCAAAGAGTATTATTTGAATGAATTAGAATTACCTTTTTGTCCGGAAAATCTGTTTTTATTTCACCAGATAGCTCCACACCAACTGCTCCGCCACCAACGCACACCACAGTATCAGCTTCTAAAATTTCTTTGTTGATATCCCTGTACAATTGCAAACCTTCTTCTTTTGACATCTTTGGATATTCTGGCATCGATTTTGCTGGGAATGCACCAGCACCGCCAGTGGCCAATATTAAATGTGTGTAAGAAATTTCCTGTCCGTCGTCGATAGTGACCGTGTTGGAATCCTTGTTAATTTTGACCACCTTACCCCGAATGAAAGAATCACCGAAGGTTTCTTTGTAAGGAATAAATATATGATTTGCATAACTCGGTTCTACACATGAACGCAGTGAACCAATATTATAAAACAGGCTGTCCTTTGGGTCGATTAACTTCACTTTTCCTGTATGAAGAAGGTCAATTGCTATGGTTATACCTGCCGAACCTCCACCAACAACCACCACTTTGGCATCTTCCTGGAGTTGTTTCGAATCTCCTGATCCCATTGTACTTTCTAAAGATTGATAGATATGTGTATTTTCTAATGCTACAAAGACGGACAAATTGATTTTTATTAGTTTTTATATGTTGCAACATATTTGGGATATTTTGTACAAAGCCCCCTCCACAAAGGCAAAAATGTGAAAATAACAAATTAGTAATTATCAAGTTGGGGTTAGGAATGGTTTGAAAACTTAAATTTACAGCGCCATCTGCATTCCCAACCCAAACTGGATAATTACTGATTTTCTTATTTTGAGCGTTGGTGAGGGTGTTTTTTGTATGGGCTTTGTACAAAAAATCCCATATTTTGTATATATTTCCACGTAATTCCAATTTCATGAATTTAATCACTGCCTTCGAATCCACCAAAACCTCTCTCATGCATAATTGAATTCACATCGATTCTGATGTTTTGTATATTCATATATATTCCTTATTCATATACCAAAAGTTCATGTTGCTAAGCTCGTTACAAATAATCATGACATATACCATCACTACTGCTTTTTTTGAAAACTAATAAGGCTTTCACCTTTATTCATAGGTATTGTTCATTTCCTATTAAGTAGCCGCCTACTTGCGATCGTGCTTGGGGCAAATACGAGAAATATGATTTAGTTATATTGTAATTAGGAGACGAAGAAATAAAAATCTTAATGGGAACATTCTTCAAAGCAATGATTTAAAAAATCTTGCCGGGTAAATGAAATTGTCACAGCTTGCAATCTTTTCCCTCGGGAAAGCATGTGATGCGTAAAATATTGGATAATGGGTTCTAAATATTTCATCCTATATTTATGACTAACGAACCTTTCACCATCGATACTTCAATGCTGGCAACCTGGCACTATTTCAAAGTGAGGGAACTCGCTCAAGAGCATGGTCCACTAAAAGCACTAATATGAGGAGCGCAACAATGAACAATAAATTACGAGAAATCAACTGCGCTGTATGCATACAACAAGCTGTTTTGCAAAATGTATCCTTTCAATCGATTGGAGGTTTCCTTAAGTCAATCATACCAGTCCCCTCATACTGATACAATTAGACGTTTTACTAATGTACCTCGACGCAAGTGTTTAAACTCGGTTTAAAAATAAAAAATCTTCTCCCGTCTTCTAAGCTAAATCTGAGATTAACCATATATAATTATATACAATTATGCTACTTCTGTTGTTACTTATCGGTCTACAATAACAAACAGTCATCATTGTTGGCACGACTTATATCTATAGCCACGACCGCATTTATCATGTACAAATTATCTCAATGCAACATCGTCGAACCACGCCCCGAGCAAGCAGTTACTATTATATTGCCTGAAAATTATGCGTTTATACAAACAAATCTCCTGAGGCCACAGGCGATATCGAGTTGTGTATAAAATCAACAACCCTAGCGAATTCGCCTACCAATTTGTTGCTGGTAAAGCAGCGTATGTGACCCATTTTATAATCTCAGTTTATAATCTTACTTGCTTCGCTTACGAATGCTTCGCTTGAATATTTCTTGACACGTAGAAGCAATCCATGAATATCTACATCACGACCGTGTTCGATAGCACTAGTTCAGTAAACAAAGCATTACAATAATCGCAACCGGCGTTTGCCCAGACCAAAGCAGCGATTGATCAGCAGCAGGCTTCGCTGAAATGAATTACTTCAGAGGTAAACACACCGATACCTTATGTCCTCATGTCGCAATTATCTGCTGGTAATGCTTGAAAATGCCTTGAATATTGCATTGAATTGTGACTCAGCAAATCATTCTGAGGGAATTGCATGCGTGCAGATACAAATGTTCTGTACTGGCCTAATACTAATGAAGTCGAATCCAGCAAGATTTGTTCATACTTTTATATATACTGCATTCAATGCATTGATACGCCATGGCGTATCTACGTAAAATGGCTTCTATGGCAATGTTTAAAAATATGACCCCTTGACTAACAATTTTTAATGGCCGTTGTTGAATTGAGATACGTTATTATTTGAGTGTAGAATACGAGTTTCAATTTCCTATATGGAATTATTCTAGTGTAACATTTTACGATTAAAACTTTTTGCGCTCTGACCCAAACGGCGACCATGGAACGAGCCATGGTTGTAATACCCTGGATACGCCAATGACTGCACTATACTGCAAATATTGGTTCTTGTTGGTTATTACTTATGGGCCAAATGGCCACAAATGTTTCTTTTCTTATATTTCACATGAGGAGTTTGTGGCTAACCGCGTAAGTACTGGAAACAAACACGCAAGATCTTGGTAATTTGATTCACCATTGGCTATATCAGAGATGGCGAACCATTGACCTGATGGTCACAAAGTATTTGCTATTTAGTGACCCGCCAAGTTACGAATTATTGCATTTTAGTGACAAAAAATTATAATGGAGGCCTTGATTTCAGTTGGGTTAAAAACAGCCACGCTCGCACGAAGATACAGGTGTTGCAGCCTTTATGATATAACAATATGATTGAAACTTTTCTTGTTATACCGGTTCCCTATAGTATAGGTGCATGGTCCAGTGAAGGTCGCAGAATGTGTATGATGGTGTACTGAATACTATGTTGCAGTACTGTATATTCTATTTCCGAATACAATGGCGTTTGGAAAGCAACACATGAACTCAAATTATCGAGTACATAGATCTGAAATAGCAATGAAGCAGGATGGTAGTGACTTTCGTAAAATAAAATTCACTAAGAGTAATATTACCCCACAAACTTCTCTGTAGCCATATGCGGTATATATAGCATTATGAACGTTTCAAGTAATTCATATGCACGCAGATCGGTGCATTCGTACATGAATTTTGTAAAATTGAGTACCAGAAATCTCCACAGTTTTGATAAAAATACACATGTGTGAAGCTCAAAATCACACAATACGAACCTATAATATAATAAGCGTTGGATCAACGAAAAGGTGCATCGTCAAATTTCTCATTGATGCAAATATATATCGTTTAAATATTTATGACACGCGGTCTTCTTTACCTTATTAAAAATTTATTTTCTGACCAGTTCCTTAAAAAAGAAGTCCATGTCCAAAAGAAGTTATGTTAGTCCATTTAATTCGCATATATATATATAAACATTGATCGTTAGTAAAAAACATCCTTGTTGAAATCTGTATTTCAATTTCAACTTCAACAACACTTTATGAAAGTTATAGCATAAGCTGCGGAGTTTTCATTTAATATACATGGAAACAGAAGGCTAAAATGATAAATTCAGTGAAGTTTGTTTAATTAAGTGCTTATTGTTATTATCCATAATGTGTTTGTCAATGTAATTGTAACATGTGATGAACTGTAAAAAAAATTTAGTGGTCTGGAATCTTTTTGGAATGTTTCGTATAAATATTCAAACAATTACGTGGTTTCAGATTAAATATTGAAATTTGCCAATATATTTATTGAGTACCATTCACAATGGAAAACGGTCGACAATTCTTGACATTTTGCACTTTGGTGGTATGCTTCATTCGCCGATTTATGGTATATTAGAAGTCAATAGTCCGGCTGACAAACGAAACAGTTCAAATATTTGTAAGCTTATGTAAGTTTGTTCACTCAACAACGTCAAATGAAAGTGAAAATACGCTAAAATCTGCAGGTCGATTCGCTGATGAATCGAGAATTTCTACACAATGGACTTGGGCATTGTCATGAGAATGGTTTGCTTGCGGGAAATTAATTATATATACTTGACGGCTCTCAAAAATATAATTTGCCACAGTAATTTATGCCGTATGAGCGAACAAGATAACCAACACTGTACGCAAACAAATGAAAGATAATCCGCCTAACCAGTGTCGGCAAACTTTAAGTACTTCCGGGTCGAGTATACGCTTTTCGGGTAGCGTGCAGGCCACGTTCATTTCCACCTATAAACGATCGCCACATTACACTTCAAATTATGGCGCACTCGCGACTTCTATTCATGTGTTAAACGTCTCTCGGAATGAAACGTGTACGTGTATATGACGGTTTCTCATTTATAATCAAAATCGATACATTGTTTTCATTTCGTTGTCATCAACGTGGAAGATGTTGCCGTTTTGTGTGGTTACCAAAACGTTAAAATCAAATGGTAACTTGTAGCAATATGTGCTTGCCGATATATACAAATACACATTTTGCATTGTCAAACAGATGAGTATAAGTAGATTTCTGAACATATTCTTTATAACTGAACCATTGTTCATGAATTAAAATGAGCGAAGTTTGAATTGATTGGTTGAGTTTTTCAACGACGTAGCTTTCCATGCATCTGATGACGTAATATAGTCATACATGATTAATAAATTGCCCCTTTCCTTGCAGTTGTAAGTTAAGGTTGTTCATTTAGGACAAGAAATCAGTGAGAAATGCTTAATCTGTTGAGCAATCTGAAGCACCAAGTTTATCAATAGCGAAACTTGCATTTTTTGTTTCAAGATGTCCCGATTTCGTTTCGAAAATCATAAAACCGTTCGAAGGACACAAAAAAATTTGCTCGCAGACCGCATCTAGCCCTCGGGCCGCAGTCTGCCATCCACCGGTCTAAATCAAAATAGCAAACTTTGCGAACTAAAATGAACCATTTTTTATAAATAAAAGAAAAGTTTAATTTTTTCAAGATTTACACCACGCGATATTCGTGATGTTTAGCAATACTGTCAAACCGTGTCCAACGAGTTTGCCTGACAGATCTTTCTTCCCGTGCATTTACGTTGCTTCAAATAAATTATTATGTCCAAAGTCTCCAACTTATTAACATCACGATCTCACAAATCCACATAATATATAGGTCACACCGGCTAATTATAAACCGATTTTGTCATAAAAAAGTACATCAAATGATTTTTAAAAAGAATTTTTTTTTTGCGCAAACACATTCATCACTTTGGACTGCCCAATAAGGGTTTCACGACACTATCTCATTTTGTCCATTAAAAGAAGATCGTTTGACCCAGAAGACATTTTTAATTTTTTTCTTCGATATTTTTTTGAATTTGAGAAAGAAAGTTCACAGCAGTTGCAAAATCAGCTGTTCAGACAACTAGTATTCATTCAATTATTCTAGAATAATGTAATCAATATGGAAATTGATGACTGAATAGTACTCCTTGTTAAGTTAAGATAGCTTGCCACCTTCCTTAGATGAAAACGCAAAACAAATTAATTATCAAGGACTTTGCGGTATTTATGTGATGCAATTAAGCTCTTTCAATATATCAATCAAAATGTCCAAAAGAAACAAATATAGCTGAGGTATATAATTCTAAGATAATAAGCTTGTCGTTTTTAAGTGGTCTGATGTCATTCTTGATCAATCGAAGACTATTCGGAAACATTCCACTTCATCTCAAATCAGACTTCGAGAAAGACGAAATACGGTCCCGAACCGGTCTTTTATTTAATCTGCTCTTACAACATCTGTTCGAAACAATAATCGTGGAATAAATCCCATATTTCATCTAGTTTTCCCATACCACATACTGAATCCTATAAATTTTTTGTTAAACAAAAAAGTGGAGCGAAGAAAAGTGCTTCTGTTGTGGCGGAAATTCCCATTACCCATCTATGGTGACTGTCAGCAATGTGGTGAGTGTTCCCGAAAAAGTGTTTTCTATTTTAACGTCGCAACATGGTTTCATTTCTGGTTTTATAGGACCAATTGGCTTTATAATGATGGCACGAACCTTTGATTATTTCTCACAGTATCCGGCATATGAGTGAAAATGGTTGATTAATATTTTTTTGTAAGTAAAAAAACATACTCAAAAATGTCAAACGCATTTCTAATAGTAGTTAAATATAATTTTGTCGCTAAAACAGTACCGGGGTCGTTGTGCCACCAATAAATCATTCATTCTGTAACGAGTTTGTGAAATCATCGGACAATCAAATATCAAATTTTTCAGAAAAAAGCACATAAGTAGAGTTGCGACGTGCTCAAATTCATATTAAAGTTTCAGAAGTAGTAGGCCCCCACACCTACCAATTTTTCACGTTTCACCTAAGAATGAGACCCTAACTTTCTAGGCTTTGGCACATTACTCTCTAGCTGTTGGCGCTTTTTTGAATAATTGGAAATTCTGGTTACGACAATGCACAATTACATAACATTTTCCATGTAGTATGGTAGATTTTTAGGTTTTTGACACTTGCAAAATTTATCGAAAGCGAACTTTTACGCGATCAAATAATAAGAGGATAGTTTGGCACACGTGAAGTTGTTTCATTTAGTCTGGTTGCTTTTCCGGTTCACTAAGTCGGTTACGTTTTGTAATTTGTTGATTTCGTTTTTATGCTGATTCGCCTTAGTCTGTGCATAGTCGAGAACGAGGTGATTAGATAGAGCCCAGGTATATGAAATAAGTATACCCAGAAAATTTATGACGATTTTGTCTACCTAATTATATTAAAATTAATTAGAATACATTACGTTATAAATTATGATTCTTTTATATTTTTGAATTTTAATGATCCTTTATTTAGTGATATAGCAACTGTAGATTTGAATGCAATTATTCATTTATTATCAATAGTTCGATATAAAATTTGGATTATGAGAAATTCTATCATATTTCGAA